CGCACAAGACTCCATGTTACGTTGCATCACTGAAAAAAGGTGGTTTCTATTTGGATTGAATATTCGGTCACTCATTTGCAAGGGAACAAATGACCGAATGTATTTATTGCTCTAAGTTCTGAGGGTGTGGTTGAACATGGAGGCGTCCTCTCTCTCCCCTGGCTCCACGCTATGAAGCCGGGCATCTGGACTATTTTCAGCATTATTCCGAGAGCCTGACGAAACCACACACACACACACACACACACACACACACACACACAAAGAAACAGACCAGGAAGTGAAACCAGTTACTTTTGGACACATTGCTAGTCAACCTTCTCCTCTCTTAAAAATAAACAGCAATGGGAAGGCCTGTTCACCATGGCTGGCGGAACCCTTTCATACACTGGTGTCTAGGGACAAAGTGAAGACCTGGATTATTCACCATCAGCAACAGATCCAGGTTTACTGTTGTAACTGCATGTTTGGGCACACAGTTTGGGCTGTCGTATGGAGTTGCTTCCATGGGGTCCTGTGTTATAATTTCCTTACAAGTGTCAATCACAGGCTATTCTATAAAAAAAATGTCAACCGTGTGTGTGTGTGTGTGTGTGTGTGTGTGTGTGTATGAATGAATGAACAGAAGTGGAGGGAAGTGATGAGAGAAGATTTCTGCCATTTTTTCACATTTACTACAAAACAAGTGAAAGTATCTTTGTCATGTGATAGGAAAGTTTTCCCAAATTATGCTTCTCAATAGTAATAGGGAAATATGGAGAATGGAGTATATCCCAGGGATGGGCCAATCAGAACCAAGAATTACACTGAGATCCTCTGACTTTATACAAAGCCACAAAGGGGAATATGTAAACAGTAGTTGTTTTAGAAATGTTGACACGTAACCCTAAGAGCTGAATCCAGCAGCTGTCAGAGAAGTAGAGTCTGATTTGTCTTTAAACAGTAGCTTCTGCCTCAGTTCATCAGATATTTAGAAACTACAAATGCATCAGTAAGAGCTGTCTTAGATAAAGGGATTTGGGGTTCACTTCTGGAGGAGACCATGGTGAAAACAATAGTTAACTGCTGGCATTTAAATAAAAACGTGTCCTTGTCCATTTCACTATAGTGGTAGGCAGTGCTTATCACTGGTTTAAAAAAATTTTTTAATCAGTAATGTATAGAATTTGAAAAAGTTTACAACATGAAATGTCTTGCTAGTTTTAGAGATTGCAATTATTAGGGAAATGGGAGCTAGGCTGTGGAGAGGCTGACTCGGCTGCTCTGTGTTGGTGTGTTTCTAGTTTGAATGTACTGTGAGTGACCCCCACTGCCTGGCGAGTGATTCAGTGTTCTTAAATACACAAACCCAAAGCGCTCGTGAGTCTTGAACTCAACAGAACGAGGCAATGGTGAGGAGTCCGCGCGTGCACGCGGTTCCACATGGTTCACTGTGCCTGGGAGGGATGTTGTTATTATTGTTAATAATAATAAAAAACGCAATTTGTCCCAGTAGTACTGGCCACCCTGTTGTAAGAGTTTTAGAAGATCCCTGAGCACAATTTTTCTGACTCTTCATCCCAACTCCAAAAAGATCGGGCTTCTGTCCTTGATAGCAAGACGGATTGTCATTCACAGTAAGTCAATCATAAGGTGCTTATTTACCCTTTTTTTTTTTCCACCAATCAGCACAAAGGACTGTCAGAAAATAACTTTTATTATTATCTTAAAATAATAGTACTGGAAGGACACATGATTTAAACAATCGATGTTTGCAACAGTGGCTTTAGGGTTATTATCTGGCTGCCCCTCGACAATACCAAGTGATTCGATCGACATTCCTTAGCCAAAAACAAAAGAAAAAAACAAAACAAAACAAAAAAAAAAAACAAAAACACTGTACAAATATGTATTTTTCCCTGAGGGTTCAAGGTACACCCGCAAGTGCTCTATGTACATATTGCACTGGAGAGGAATGAAGAGGAACATGTGCAAAAGAACGACGGGAAGCTGCCGCGCCGCTCGGACCTCTGCACGGAGGACGCGCTACGCTGCTTTGCATTTTGGAATGTCGGAACACACACAGCCACTCCTCCGTCTAAAACGAAAAACGCAAATCCCTACTATGGCACATTCAATGAAATAAAAAGTTCTCCAAAGACAGATAGACAGATTCCATCAAGAAAATAATACAAAGTTTGTTTGTGTGTATTTTTTTTTTTAGAAAATTACATTACTTTCTTTCTTTGTTTCACATTACAAAATCTTTTTTTTTTTTTCTTTACACAAATCACATTTTATTGCAGGAATAGTTCAAGTGCCATCAAATATTTATAGAAGGGTTAAAAAAATAGAAGTCTCTCTAAAGTGGTCCAGACAAGGCTTTGTATAGAATAAATCTTTTTTTTTTCCATCTTCTAGTTTTGATTTAAGTATTTTGAATACATTTTCTTTCCCATTGACACTTAGTAGCCTAGAAGCGGTCCGACACGCGCACAGCACACACACCACACACGCACGCAAATCCCACGCACGCACACACGCACGGGCACGCGCCTTCCTCGCCTGACCCTCCACCCGCTCCCATGTGCTCACAGAGATCTGGGTAGCCACACAATAAAGAACAACCAAACTTACAAGCAGTGTCTTAGTTCATTTTCCTTACATTAGGAAGGGTGAATCGGGATGCTGAAGACTTTAAAAAAAAAACTCGTAGCTTTAACACAAATTAGGATGCTGAACACTTTAAAAAAAAAAAATCCATAACTTGAACACAGTTTGCAAACTGTCCAAAAAGCACTTTCAATGGCACTTTTGATTTCACGGTGACCATGGCCAGTTTTTTTCGCAATCCGGGGATACCATCGTAACAATGGTACAATGCTTTGACAATGCCTTATTTATCTTACGTTTAAAAAGTATATAAAAATGTTAGAGGAGCCAAATTGGACAGTGATTTGGTTCCAACCCTTAAAAGACGACTGGATGTGAAGTTGAGGTTCTGATCGTAGGAACTGTCCAGAACACTTGCTCTTGTATCGCCACCTACTGCTTTGTGTCATCTCCCAGACGCTTTTATTAAAAAGGAAGAAAATAAAAAAGCAAAGGTTTTCACATCCTTCTCTAGCCTCAGCACTTCTCCCAGCTGCGTTCGCGGCTCAGCTTCAGATCCCAACTTCGGTCCACAGAACAGTCGCTACCTCGGTCTCTCCGAGCGCGTCGCTGTCTCCACTACTCTGTGCCTACACGCTCAGGGGACTGAGCGCCGAAAGGCCACCTGATTTTCTTTCAGAAACACCGAGAAGCAGCCTCGTGTTTCTCTGTCTTGGTTTGCTCTAAAATCAATGTCACCAAGTCATGACTATTAGTAAGATGCGAGGACCAAGATTTCTGTCTTGTTCCGCGTGGCACATGCAAAGTCCTTTCCGGGGAAGGGGATTTCTTTCTCAGTTCAACATCACTTTCTCTCTCACCCTTCAGAGAAGTTCAGTTAGCTCTTCTTGGTCACACATGGACACTGAAATTAAGTTTAGTTGCTCTTTAATGTGCTAGCACCTGAGGCTGGTCATATACAGAAAGCTTTGGTTAAAAAGAAGTCACTATACTTTAATAATAAAAGCATCCCCAAATTTAGTGAATCTGTGTGGCAAAAACCAGGATAACCCCTCCCCCAAGAGATCCCAACACCATTTCCCCTCTAAGGAGAAACAATAGAAAACACAATGGACAAATAAATAAGTGAACTAAGCTTGGTACTCTTTTCAGAGTATAAATACTATTAATCTTTAAAGGAACTATGTTTACTTAAATAAAAGCTTGATTTAACCCTTCTTGCCCAAATATAAATACTATATGCTGACAGTTAACCTCTCTATATAAACACTCAAATAAAATTTTATATGCCTGTAGGAAATTTAAGTAAATAGTACTCTCATCTTCTATTTATGGTTAAACCCTTACAATATCTTTTGGAGAAAAAAAAAAAAAAGTGGATGTCATTTAGGCTTCATACACACGTTTCTGTGTAAAATATTCCCTCTCCTTCTCCCAAGTGCCTCAGGAAACAAGTCAGGAAATTAGTGGGTTCAAAGCAGGGTAAAGTGCTCTGAGAAACCGGTCCTCGCGGTCCAGCCTGGCGTCAGGGGCCACAGTTCCTGTGCAGGATGCTGCGGGAGCCCTGGTGGCGGGGGACGCCTCTGAAGGCGTGGGCTCCCACCACGGAAGACATTCTTTCTTCCTTACAAACGTGGCCACTGAGGTCAGACCGTTAGCTTAAGTCCCGCTCAGGGTGTGAATACCATCTAATGCCTACATGCCTGAAAGGTCACTTGTTTTCAAAATATACACCCTTGCACGTCAGACTGTTCCTTCATAGCTCCCCACTGGGGAGGGTTACAGAACAGGAAATTAAACAAAAATAACTCAATAGTTCTCACCTGAACACAAAAGCCAAACAATCTTCTAAATATTTAATAAAATAAATTACAATCCACAGTTTTCTAGTGAAGATAAATACAAGAGTAAATGTTTGCAGCTAGCACTGACTTACTTGAAAGGCTTAAAATATTTAATATTAAATAAGAGAAACTGTTTCAACATCGTATACTTCCCTCACCGTCCTAGCCATCGTCTACCAAATGCGGAGAGTATGTTTTAGAATAGCTTGGCACGTGGGGACGAGTCCAGTCGGATCACTCTGAGATAAATGCTTAGGATTCCTAGATTGTACCAAGAACATAAATGTGTGCTTGCTCCAGATAGAATCTTTGGGTCCTACTTCTAATAAAAGCTAGATTCCAATAAATACTCTGGTCACTCATTTATTTCCAAGTTTGGACAGTGGCAGTGTAAAATGAGCCTCCCCTTGCCTGCCCCCCAAGGTGGCATTTAAAAAAGCTTCTTTTTAAATTTTAAAAGAAAGTGCCTGAGGATTCGAGTCCTCTGTACCATTCATGCAGCTTTGTATGAAGCTTAAACACATCTATCCTTAAACTTCTCAGAAAGCAAAACATGGTTTTTTGGGGAGAATTCTGTTTTGAATTTCAAATTCAAGTGTGGGGGAAAAAAAAATCCAACATGTTGATTTCTAGATATGACCAGCCAGTCTTTTAAAAGTCATTACGTAAGCAGCAGCATAAACACCTCCCGACGTACCTTCCGAGCCTTCTCAGCCACACCTGTGTCTCCGGCGCATGCGACACAACAGTGAACACGCTAGCATTTAATTTAAAGAAAAAGGTGCAAAATGAAAGTGCCTTATCAATTCAACAGGAAAAGCTACACCAGTAATAACTACATTTTATATTAATTAAAACAATATATAAACAATATCTCTTTTAGTTATATATAGTCTTCATGCCCATTTACCCTGTAATATATTGTAATGCTATTGTTGTTAGTGCTGTGGACCCTTTTCCTGCCATCCCGCTCACTGGCAACCATCGGTGGGAGAAAAAAAAAAAACTTCCTTCGTGAGACAAAGGGCAGGCTGAGTGACGCTGCCACCTTCGCCACGCACACCCGTCACCGACCACCGCCAGGATCTCTGCAGGAAGTCTGTGGGCAGTGAGCTGCAAGAAAAGGAAATCCTCCGGCTTTAGTACCCTCCTCCTTGTAAACAGGCCAACGCTCAAGAAGTTGTGACAGAAAAAGGGTCCGTATCTGTAGGCAGAATGGAAATCGTATGCATGAGAAAAACAAGTCCAACTTTTATTTGTTTTCATTGTTTCCCCTCCTCTGCCTGACCCCGGTCACCAAAAGATGTGCAGTGTGTTGGTGCGCCGGGGCTGGTGCAGGGCCGTAGAAAGTGTCTTGGTTAATTTTTGTTTCGTTTCCGTTTTTCGCATTTGTACTTCGGACATTGTAGCGGGGCTCGGGTGACACGTTTACCCATCAATCTGCATGGCTGGCTCAAACTCTGAAGTGAACAACTCCTTGTATAACGGAGGAAAGTGGAGTCGCACAATGTCTGGGTATATTGCTTTAAATGCCATTAGCTTTTCTGTGTGTCGTCCGCATAAGGCTCTCAGTGTAGACACCTTGCATATTAACTGTAAGTGGAGAAAGGACACGCGGTCAGGAAGGGGCAGACAGGAGAGTGCAAGTCAAGAAGGCTACAGCATCTTTACAGCCCTCTGCAGCGGCTGAAGCACACTTGAGCAACTTAACCCTGCCGAGAGCGGACTGGCCAGATTAAATGATGGGATGCTGCACAGAACGCCAGGAAGACGGGGAGCGCTAGTTTAAAACAGAATCACTTAACCTAAAATGACAATGGCAAGCAGAAGCTGGCCCTGCCCGGCAGTGGGGGTCCAGGTGGGAGCTCAAGGCTGCCTTTCGCCTCCTACTCCACGGTGACCCGGAATCCTGCCCTCCACGGCTGGGGAAGAGTTCTGGGGATGGAGTGGGGCGGGGCTCCTGAAGTCCCGGCTGCTGAGTGGACCACAGTCCTGTGCATCTGAGGCAGGACTAGTGCAGCCGGTCCTAAGGGCAGCAGCCACCTGCTAGACAACGAACTTCTCTCATCACAAAGCCATTCTGGGTCCAAGAAAAGATGATGAGGCCTGGGTGGAAGGCCCTGCACTGACTGTTTCCAGCCGAGGGCAACAGGATGATTTGCAAAAGTGTCCCTCAACACTAGAGCACTGTACAAAGAGCGTTTCTGGTCCTGGCCCAGGACAGTTCTCTCTAGGAAACATGGTTATTTTTTAAGCCAGATATTCTTAGGTGCTCCCTAAATAATTTTGCAGGGGCCTTGCTTTTGGGCCAGAACAACTGTGAAATTCCAGAGGGGTCCTCCCTTTCCATTTCCTATCCCTGCCCCATTCACCCATTTAAAGGGTGCAAAATCAAAAAGAAAAGGACTCAAGAAGACAAAACCCGATGCTGCTCAAATAACCTGCTCAAGTAGTAAACGTACAGAGTAGGCCACAGAGCTTTCTTCTCAAACCAAACACAATGGATACTATTATCAAAGGATGCTGGCATATTTGAAATTGGCATCCTAATGATACTTCAAAAGATGAGCAGGGCCGGCCAGATAGCTCAGTGGATTAAAGTGCCTGCTTAGGCAGACGCAGGGGTCAGAGGTTTGATTCCCGGACTGCCATGCCAGCCCCACTCCCGGGGTTCACTGAGACAGTGATTGAGACTAGGTGTGGTGGTGCACGCCTGTAATCCCAGCCCTCGGGAGGCTGAAAATGGGACAATCACTGCAAGTCCAATCTGTGCAGTGAGACTCTGTAGACCTTGCACTAAATACAAAAGAAACAAGCAAAAATGAAACCGTATGCCTTGAATATAAGATAGCAATAAGAAATTGATAAAGAAAACACAGGCTGGGCATGGTGTACATGCCTGTAATCACAGCACTCAGGAGGCTAAGTCAGGAGGGTAACTGAGCGTTCTAGACCAGCCTGGGCTACCCAGTGAGCTCAAGGCCAGCCTGGGCTGCATAAGGAGACCTGTCTCAAAAAGACAAAAACAAATGACGGAAAAAAAAAAACACAAACAACCCATAAAAGTCATTTATAGTTGACTAATGAATTTAATGGAAAGAGGATTACTATTACAATATATTAGATGATTACTACTAGAATATACTATTAGAGGGGCTGGGGAGATAGCTCCTTAGAATAAGTGCTTGCCTGGCAAGCTCAAGGGCCTGAGTTCAATCCCCAGTTCTACCAAAAAAAGAAAAGAAAAGAAACTATTACTAGATAGTAATAATGTACTAATAGATAATGCACTATACTATATATTATTAGAATATACTAGTAATTTCTAGCACTACTAGTGCTGTTAATAACACACTAATATTAGAATATACTAATTACTATTTTAGTCCTTTATAACTTCTCTCTTCTAAGTTGGAAGATCCTTTTCTAACATGTCACAATGCAGAGCCTCAACTCCACTTTATGGACAGCTTTGACGGAAGAGGAGGAGGATTTCCTGAATGTATTAATGCTTGAAAAAACCCTTTTTGCCTACGGGTGCCCGCTCGCGCAGGGCACTCCGTGATCTGTGCCGGTAAACAGGCGCTAACCTCCTGGCTTGGCCTCACGGCTTCACCAGAGCCCTCCACCTGCGCGGCGGCCCTGTAGCCCGACACCCCGGGCTGGCGGTGAGGTGACTCAGCGCACCCACCGCCCCGCCGCTCACCTTCGTTAGAATCCCGTCTTCCCGGTGATTCTTCTGCAGGACATGCTGGAGAGCCAGCTGGATTTTCTGCTGCAGCTTTTCAATTTTTACCTTCTCCTGCAGCCACGAGCGGTCTGAAGATGAAAAGCCATGCTCTTTAGTGTCACAAGCGTCAGCCCTCGAAGTCCGGGTCGGGCCACCCATGCTTAGAGACACGCAGGCCAGTTGCCGCTGTCTCCCAAATTTCACTTACACATTTCAAACTTCCACTGGAGTGGAAACATGACCTGTGGCAGCTACACACACAGCGGGCAGCCTTCTCACTTTTCCTAATTCTCAAAAAGAAGTCAGGATCTGCCCTTCCCAAAGGATGCCATCTGAATTTAAGGCCACGCTCACACAAAAACAAGTGAAGCGGCCGTGTCCCTTCGAGCTTTTCCAATAATTATATATCGAGCTAAATACGTGCATCAATCCTGCCAGTGTTTGTGGAAAACATGAGGATTGGCTTGTAATCTCGGGAAACTAAAATTGTCAGGAGAACCGTAAATGGCTGAAGGGCGGCTAAGTGAGAACGAAATTTTTGTGGGAATTCCACACAGAAGACCGAAAGTGGCAAAAGGGATTCTCCCCAAGAGGCAGTGTTGACTGAAAGCCTGCGGACGACACCCCGACGGATTGAAGCAACGGCAGGAATGCTTTACGGTGGCAGACCATCTTGGGGACGGCGCTGAGGAGGATGGGCTGCCATTTCTCTGGGCACTGGGAGGTGAATTCTAGACTGGGTTTTACTGAATTTTTATTAAGATTTTATCTGAAAGGCACGAGGTCTTTTAAAGAGCGTTTAGGTGTGGGGGTGGGGTGTTCTTTGAAGAACTTTAGATTTTGAAAAAAAAATGGCAGCTGCTTTCAAGAGCCCCTTAAATATTTTAAATGAATAGAAGTTACACAACCTGTAAAAGGTTTTTTTACCTGGAAAAATTTTAAACTTTGAGTTCTCTTACCTGCTGACATCAGCACAAATGCAGAAAACAATGCAATTTCGTCCTCGGTCAGGTGCATAGAACACAAGCTCTTCCCAAAGTCGAACACAAAGCTAATGAAGTCTTCACAACCTGCGGAAAATGAGCACAAAGACAGTTCTGGATTTTGTTTACTAACTTAGGAGAAAAATACGGAAGAAGGTGAAGAAAGATCCAGTAGCGGAGGATCAGAGGCGACAGCAATCCTCCAGGCGCACAGCGTGGCACCCTAAACATCGGCGGCGTCACGATAGCGCCCGTGCACTGCCAGCAGCGCGCCACCGCCGTGGCTCCCCTCCCTCGCCACAGGCCTGCACTGCGCCGAGAGCCTCCTTTGGATTCCTTGTGTTTCCAAGCAGGCCTTGGAGGGAGGTGCGGCGAGGCCATGCCCACCCCCGTGTTGTCGAGGGAGCCGAGACCTGGCGGAGGGGAGGGACGTCTCTGAGCTCACGCAGGTACGGAGTGCAGCCCGAGCCTTGCGGGCAGGCTGTGGCTGGCTTGGAGTGGAGCCGCGAGTTTCCTGGCCACTCCCGCCTACTGAGTGGCCCACCGCGGCAATCTAATTGCAATGCCAGATTCATACGTTTTATCTTACAGTGGTAACGCGTGACATAGTGACACATCGTGGTGGGGAAACTACCGTGGCTGCTTACTGAAGGGAAAACACGCAAGCTGAAGGTCCCCTAAAACGGCAACGCAGTCCCCCGAAGGCTGGCTGAGTGGGGGGGCTGTTCCCTCAGTCTGGCCTCTCCCAACCTCTGCATAACTCCTGTCAGGCAACTCTAAAAAGGACACGTCAATGCAGTGTGGTTAGCGTCTCAGTATCCCTCATGACCACCATCCACTTTATCTAAACTGTGGACACTGAGAATAACTCATGAAGTGTGTGCCATGGCGTTTCCCTTAGCTCTACTTCAGTTCCCTGATAGCTGCACGCACTTCTCATTAAACGCGGCTGACGGAGAGCCGGGCACGGCAGACTGTGCACTCTTCCCTTGCTTTTATGAAACTAGTCAGGTGCTCTGAGTTACTGAATATGAACTGCCTTTCAATGTGGTTTCTTGGGCTGGGGAGATGGCTGGGCAGTCTAAGCACCTGCTGGGCAAGTGTGAGGACCCGGGTTCGATCCCAAGTACCACATGCCCCACTGGCTACCGAAACTGAGTGTGGTGGCTCACGCCTGTAATCCCGGTACTGGAGAGGCTGAGATAGGAGGATCACTACGAGTCTCAGCTGCATAGCGAGTCCCTGTACCAAATAAATAAGATTTTAAAAAAATCAAATGTAGGTTCTTAAAATCTGGAAGAGGAAATGGAAGGACACAGCATATATATCATTTCAGTTACCTATGGGATTAAATGGAACTCTGGATCTTTGCTTGGCTACAGACAAAAAGCACCTGAGACCCGTGATCTTTCCAGAATGATGAGCTACTAAGTGTGCCTCTTGGTGCTGGTCTCCAAATAAGCAGTTTTCACTCTGTTGACTCAGAAGCTTCCCCTAGCCCATACCTTGCCCCGTAGCCCGGACCAGAAATCAAGGCAGGCGGCTCACGACGTCCTTACCTAGCGACTTGAAGACCTCAGGGCTGGCGTACTTCCCGTCAAAGTACACGGTGTTGTTCTGAGAGTCGAAGGCACGGCACATTCTGATGAACACCACCTCCAGTGAACCTGAGCACACACACAGCAGGCTTGGGTCGTCTGAGCCAGGGGAGGCCCTTTCGGACACAGCAAGTGGGCGTGGGTGCAGGGCAGCGGGCGGGGCCGGGGCGACACTGCCTCTCGGGGCAAAAGGGCAGAGCTTCCCGCAGAAGGGAGCCCATCGTGCTCAGGCTACACTCGGCCTGAGGAGCGTGACGGCCGGCGGACAGATCACTTCCCGGGTGATCTTCACCTTGTACAGTGCGGCCTCAGGGCTGTGAGGAAAGTATTAAATTGTATCTTTTGGAACAATCACAGCCAGAATGACAGAACGCCCTGAGGTCTGCCAGCCCCTTCCTAACAACTCAGGATTAGGACCTGGAGGGTGGACAAATGCAGGAGGCGGTAAGATTTGGGACAGCAGGTGTCCTTCAACTTAGCCCTCTCACCTAGAAGAGAAGCAGGGCAGGCAGCCTCAAGAGAAAGCACTCAGCTCCTGCTAAGGAAAACTGTGCCCGACACCTTCCGCACCCAAGCACTAGCGAGCGGCAACAGCGGGTGAGGGGGAGGCCCGGGGCCGGCCTGCCGGGCACCTACCTGCTTTGAGAAGCACGATCTGATCGTTCTGACACAGCTCCATGAACCCGTCGATGCGTTTGGCGAACTCCACCACGTACTGTATCGCTTCTGTGATTTTGATGGCACACAGCTGCCACATGACCTCCCGCTGCTGTGAGAAAGGGGACAGCACCACGCGGGTCACCCAGGGTCCTGGGCCACGCCCCTGCCTGCCCCCGATCTGTCCTACTTTGAAGTAGATTTCAAAGTCCTACTTTGAAAGCAGATTAAAAAATGACAGCAGCCATGGCCAGGTGGATCTGAGCAGGACGTGTATAAGCCAACTGGCTTTTCACGCTGACGGTGAGTTTGCCCGACACCTGGGCCCTTGTCTGGAGGCGGGCGGCAGCGGACTCGTAGTAAGCGAGCCTTGGCCAGTCCTGTCCCGCTGAGGCCTGCATTGGCCCGTGAAGCCCTGATACCTCCAAGGACAGGATAAAGCGACAGCTGAGGACTTTAGCCCCAACCCCAGTTAACCAAAAGCAGCCCACAGCTGCAGGCTTCTCACTCCTACACTAAATGCTAACCTAAAGATAAGATGGTTCTCCTGACTGACATAATTCACTACTTGGGAAAATATTTCCCAGGGTCCTTCTAGATTCTGTATTTTTTTTTTCTCAGTATCTTCCTCCTTCGTTTGATAACCAAATAAAATACAGGCCGCCCAGAGAAAGTTGTGTGTGTGTGTGTGTGTGTGTGTGTGTTACCAGGGATTGAACTCTGGATCTTGTGCTTGTCAGGCAGGCGCTTGTTCTACTGAGCTATCTCCCTGGCCCAAGACATTCTTGGTCTTTGCTCCAGGGAATGTCAGATTCTGCCAGGGGGTGAGGACCTCCAGGAGCCTTGAAATTATACTAGTCTGTTTTATTTAAGCCTTAGCCGACCACTCATCAGCCCGAAATAACTAGGGGATGCTATTAATGCAGTAAAAAAGCCTAGAGGATTAAAACATAAACTGTCGCCTTGTTACTTGTATTTTAAGCCCCACTTCCGCAGCCTGTCTGCCGTCTGCTATTCCTTTCTTCTTGTGGGTGGCAGTGGCACAGGCAGAAAAGCTGAGAGGACAGGAGAGCCACACAGGCCACTGCTTTAGCCCTGGGGCCATGGGTAGCCAAGCAGGATCTTCTTTCAAACTGTGATTTTTTGCCTGGGGACATTTAATAGCACTTCACTCCCCTTTAAGTCAAGGGTAGCCAACACCATGTGCTGGGTGCCTGCTGTGAGCTCGATGCTCTATGACATCCTTGTCTCCCCGCATCTTCAGAGGAGCTGGCAGCCACCATCCACAAGCAGCCTGACAGCTCAGGGGTTTCGCAACTAGGAGGCAGGAGCTGGATTCCAGTCCCAGCACCTCTGACTCTGAAATCCTGTCCCACACCCCTCGCTTTTCACCTCTCTGCAGCTTTGACAGTGTTACCAGCCAGCTAGGAGGCAGGGGTGACAAGATGCTGCTCCTCAGCCTGCACACCTAATTTCCCTTCAGAGGTTCACCTTCCCACTACTCTGTGACCCCAATCTACCGTGCCACACAGTGGTCTCTTCTGCCTGGCGGGGTCTAAGAAGCGCTGTGCTGGGAGCCTGCAGCCGGGGACTGGTCCCCTCGAGCCATGTGCCGAGATGCTGGGCTCACTGTGTGAAAGAGAAGATGAACTGGGATAATCTCCACAGTGCTTCCCAAGTGTGTATGCCGGAGGGTGTGGGAAACACTCGCAGCGTTTTCTTTTGCAAGAGCATGGGGGAACCCTAACTTCCCTGTCTCCAGGGTTCCCCCTGCTGGTGGCCTTGGTCAGGGCATTGTACAGGAAAGGCAGATTTCATAATGCCAGGGGAGGTCAGAGGTACGCTCACTGCCCCCCAGCCTTGGTTGGCTGTGTGCTATCAATTCCGTGGTGCAAAGCCCTGGAAGCACAAGGCTGGGATGACTTTTCATCAGCTTCCAGACCCCAAAAGGTTTGGTTGTGATATGAGGTCAAATCCCTACTGCTTCAGGTGTTTGGAAGTTGCTCGACCTTTTCCTTACCGAGAAGTGGAAGGAGATGCGTGTGTATTTATAACACAGCAGAATCGGTTATCATGGGAATCTAGCATGCTGACATCTTGGCACTCCCTCAGCTGTGGCAGGAAGCGAGGCTTTGAATCAGAGACCTGGTGCCTGACGCAAGGCACTCCTGCTTTGGGCCCCTGGTGGCCCGTGCAGCTCCCGCACCAGCCCCTCCGAGTGTGGCCTCAGGCCCGAGCCCGCCACGCCCACCCCTACCTTATTCTGGTAGTTCTCAATCTCTTCCTGCAGGAAGGTCTGCCACGTGATCTGCTGGAGCTCTTCTCTCAAGTACTGGCATGTTTCCAGGTGGGATTTGGATATGTTCTGCGCAAGGTGCTCTACGGGGGAGACAAGGTCACAGACATGAGAAGCCGCAGTCGTGCCTGGGTGCGCAGCGCCTCCCCCTCTTCCATTCACTTTAGAAGCAGCAAGTATAAAGCAGCGCGCTGTGCCAGTCCTGGTGGCCGCCACACACCGCTGGGGTCTGCCCTGCCTTAGGGAAGTGAGGATAGAGGGCCAGGCCTCGCAAAGCTGTCCCTGAGCTGGGTGACTTGAGACTCTGCTGAACTTGACCTTGGCTTCTCACTAGTAACTGGGAATGAATCAATCCTGACCTAGACAACTAAGGCGAGGGATGGACGTTTTCACCCTAGCCTGAAAAACTCAAAAGTGATATTATTTATGAGGCCAACTATGCATTTCTTTTTTCTTGCCTGCAAATAACAGGGCAGACCATGGTGAGGAGCAAAGGGACAGACATGTCGCCTGACTGTCAGGGTCTACACCCCAGCTGTGATTTGGCATATGGTGGTGTAACCCAGGTATGCGGCGTAACCTTTCTCTGCCTGGGTTTCTTTATTGGGAAAAGAAAGAAAATAGTACTTATTTCATTGGGTTGCTGTAGAAATTAAATGAATGAAACTCTTGGAGGAACTAATACTAGTGGGTACAGTCAGTGTGCTTGAGTGTGCAAGGTGTGCTTACATTAAAGATGCCGGAAACATTTTCTCTGGGAATTTCTAATCTGTGGACATGTGTAGACACATTGAAGACAAAGACTTAAGACACTGGGCAACAAGGTATGGAGGTAACTTAAAAAACAGGTCTCATGGAAGCGGGGGATCAGTGTAGGTTAGTGGAGCTGAAGCGGATTCTTGGCAGACAAAGCCATGTGTACTGAATCCGGAAAAAAGTGCAGGTTTGGCAGTGGGTTGGTCGCTGGAGGTGGGTGGTGGAGGAAGGAACGATGGGGCGTTTATGGGGGCAGGCAGTTGTGATGGATGATAGTGTCGAACTGCAAACACAATGGGCAGCCTGGCCCCTGAGTGTGAGCGCAAGTGTGAACTGGCGTAACAAAAACAGCCTGCAGGATTCTGCAGGAAGAGCTGCTGAAAACTGCACCCAGAGGTGGAGGATGAGCAGCATTGTGCTTGGTGGGTGGGAGCACAGAGGCGGCAGGGCCCAGTGAGGGGCAGGCTGGACAGGAAGAGACAAAGCTGAGAGGAGATGGGGCTGCAGGAGAGGCTGAGCAGGAGGATCGAAAGTTCAAGGCCATCTGGGCTATCTAGGGAGACCTTGTCTCAAACTTCAATTCTTTTCTAAGGAGTCTCCAGACCAAACGCACACACTTGACAGGGCTGTCGCAAATCCGCACGGAGGAAGCCACGCCCAAAGCCCCTGTGGCCCTGGTCACCCAAGGCAGGCTGCGGGCAAGGAGGCCTGCAGCAGGGTTCGTCTGTCCATTTGCTACCGCTCACCTCAAACAGCAGGAGACCTGGTTGTGTGAAGACAAGAGTGGGTTCACCGAAGTGGAGTCTAAATCTAGAGTCTCCTGGGAGACTCAGGAACTGAATCAACCTTAACCACTCTTTTCGGCAACACACAGGTGCTGAAACAGCACCAGTGGATGGCCTGAAAAAAATAAAACATCAACCAAGAGACAAAAATCTGTGGAGCAGAGCAAGGGAGAAACCGAAGCAGAAGAGGCCAGTAAATTCTGCGTCTTAGACCCAGTGCTGCTCGTGAAGAGGAGAGACAAAGAAATGGAGGTCGGAGACTGGAGCACTGGTGCACAAATAAGGCAACGGACTAACTCAGAGAGAGCTCTTAATACACTATGTAAATCCTTTTTTTTGGTCTTTTCCAGACAGGGTCTGTAGCCCAGGCTAGCCTCGAATGCGCAGTGATTCTCCTGCCTCAGCCTCCTGGGTGCTGGGGTTGCAGGCATGTGCCACCACACCGGCTCTTGTAAACCCATTTTTGAAGTTAAGAAGAAAGTGAGGCTGACTGTTCACAGGAAGAGGGCCCTGCAGGAATGGGAGGCGGCTGCTCTGTTCTTTTTTGGGTCTGCTGCTTCCCCAGCCTCTATGGTCAGGGTTCTGTTTCACCTTATGCTACAGAATGTTCCCAGGCCCAGGGTGCATCTCAGCGGTAGCGCTTTTTGGGGGCAGGTGGAAGGCCCCAGAACAAACTGTCCCAGCTCACCCTACCCACCTGTGGCCAGCCGGTAGGGAGTGGGGCCACAGATGGTGGGTGCTATGCACAGGACGCACCGGTAGAGGGCAGTGGCTGCGTTCTCACCAACCACTCGCTGCCTCTGAGGCCTGTTCCAGGTGGATTGGATTTTAGACGTTCTGCAACGTTTACATCTCCGTGTGATCCAAAGAGAACTTGGCCAGGGTAGCCGAAAATTAGTGCGGGCGTGGCCGTTTGTAGAAACCACGCGGGGGGCAGAGGCCCAGCCAGCACGCGTGGAGGCCTGCTTTCTGGCTGGATCTGTGCAGAGGGGTGTGTGTGTACGCGTGTGCTCACGTGTGTGTGTCTCTCTGCTCCACCGTGACTGCTTCCTCAGCCACCGCCTAGGCAGTCAGATGGCAAATCCGGGCTCTGAGCTCCGTGCTACCACAGTGGGAAGGACACTTTTTGCTCTGCGTGTCCTGTGAACTTGTGGAAACGTGGACCGTGCTTCTCCCCCTCACCTAACCCTCACGCCTCCAGGGGAGCCGTGGCAGCGCCGCCTCCACTCTACAGCGGAGAGCCCAGGCCACAGGGAGGCTAGGGGACTTCCCCGGGGTGTCCCGACTTGCAAGCGGCACAGCTACACTGTGGACACAGCCCGGTTCCCTGCGCGGCCGGGGTTTCCACGGGGCTGTCCAGCGTGCGGCAGGAGCGGCCCAGGACCAGGAAAGCGGGCTTCCTGTCTCGCGCTTGCCCGGCACATGAGCACTAATTAACAATTAGGAACGCGGTCAGCACCTCATAAAGAAAGGTCCTAGTTGTTTATCCGCAACACACCACGCAGGCTGTGAGGGCGCTTCAAGTGCCACGTTTCCTGCCTGCGGGTGGAGACGCGCTGCGCCGGAACTGAGCGGCTGTGAACGCCGGGGGGAGGGCCAGGGCTGCACTCGGTGTGCGAAGTCACACTTCCCGTGCACAGCTGTGTCACGTGTGCCAATCATGACGGAGTTTAGCCCTCCGTGCAGCTGAGAGCCCCAGGTGGCAGGTCGGACTGCGAGGAAGCACCGAGGAGCCTGGGGTCGCAGCGCAGCAGCGGCCGCTTCGGGATCCCTGACCCCTCTGCAGGTGTAGACGGTGCAGGACATTAGAGGCCGGTTTTAGGCTTCTCTGAAAAACTCTAGTTTTCTAGCTGAGTGTTTTGTTCTGTGTGCTTGGACCTGGACCTCGCTTATGTGCCACTGACACCGCGTTTCCTTCTAGCTTTGCTTGGAGTTTGGAGTTACTCTTAGTTCTGAGTGAATTCGTTACGGAAAAGGCTCCATGCACAGTTGAGAAAGTCCTGCTGTAGCAGCGCACAGGGCCCGAGCCCACGGCTGCCCTGGAGGTGCCCCTTGCGGGGCAGGACACTGCCTGTCGGGGGCTGCGGGAAGGCGCAGGACCAGCTTTGGTCCCCATCACGCAAAGTGCCGAGCTCAAAGGCTGCGCTGCGGTTCAGCCCTACGGATTTATCTTGGATTTGAACATCTGACAAGCAAACAGGCCCGACTCACTAGTATTTACGGCAAGGTGGAAACCAGCCTAAAGTGAGTCAGGTCATTTTCCATGGACTGTGTCACCTTTCCATCAAATCCTTATTCATTTCTGACAATTTTACTTTGATTATGGGTCTGCTTAAGGCTCAGTCAACCAAGATTTCATGACAAAAATGGACCGTTTTGTTCTAGTTCAAGAAAAAAAAATCAAACCTACTCTTGCTCAGCTTGGTTCCCAGTTCACAGGTTTCTCTGTTAATCAAAAGAGCAGCAACACACCTTTAATGCCGTTTGGCGGTGAAAGGCTCCAAACGCCTGCGCTTGAGGATTTAAATTTAGACCCATAAAGAGGTGCTTGTGTAGCAACTGTAAAGAACATTCAATTTGTTCTATTTGGAGAAAGATTTGACTGGAAATATAAATTTTCACTTAAAAGGTGTTTTATGGGGTCCAGAGCTGGAGAAGCCAACTAAAGAACACGCCATTATCCTGGATTTCTGGGCTAAGTCAGAGCCTGCTGGTTCTTTCCATGTGAGGTCTCCACTCTCTCCTTGCATTAACTCGGTCCCCTCCACCGCCTCTAATTGAAATATTCCCAAGGATTATAACCCTGTGTGCAGGGTCGCCAGGCAGAGTACATCAAAGCAATGCTTCCTATCAAAAGTTCTTCTAATAATAGAGCTATATTTAAAAATCAATTAAATACTGCGGAACATGGTAACGTATCTTCCCTGAAGTGGAAAGTTTGCGGCTGTCCGCGTTATCAATATTTCTGGGTCACAGAGCCCGAGGAGCAGTCACGTCGCGGCAATGAGGAAATGACAGAAACTACAGCCTTGTTTTGTTTCTGTTTTGGTTTAGTGATCCTTGTAGGAAATCCGTCAGTTTGTCACCAATACCCATCCTGAAGCACCTTGGCAAGCAGAGAAGCCAGATGCCCTTTAATATTTATCACATACATCGAGGTTACACTTGGATGCCTACGGGGCTTGGGGAAAAAAGTCTGTGTTCTTCAGGCCAAGTGCGGGAGAGGGGGTGGTGCAGGAAACACTGGCCAACAGTGCAGAGGTGTAGCCAAGAGGAAAAAGCTCTGACCTGCAGCAGTGCAGTGGGGTGACTGTGGCGAGCACTCTGGTATGGAACGTTTAAAAACCGCGACATGGGAGGTGTTTGAATACGCGCTCTATGAAGAAATGAAAAACGTGTGCTGGGACAGGTGTGCTAACTAAGCTTGCGACCCGCCCTACAGACACGGACTGAAACATCTCCCTGTTCTCCGTGGGTATGTATGATTGTGTGTCATTGCCAAAACAGGAAAAGTTTAACTTGCAGCAAACAGTTCAATAATGTAAAGATTCCACACTGGGCACAACAAACAAAATACCTTCCTACCAACCAGGTTCAGTCTGGGGGCTGTGGCCTCGGGTGTGAAGCGACACCGGGGTATAATACTGTAAGTGACGTAGGAGGTTCAGGTGGCCCTCGGAGTGTACTGTTCTCTCCAGACTACTTTAAAGCCCAACTTCATCCCATTTCATCTGAGGTGCCGAGAGATGAATGCATTTTCTGGCTATACCTCAGGAAACGGGGCAGTCAGGAGTAAGGGGCTGAGCCCAGCACTCTGGGAGGCTGAAGCAGGAAGGCTGAGCTTGTGCCTGGTCTGGGCAACTTAGGAAGGCCTTGTCTCAAAATTAGAAGGGGTTGGGGATGCAGCTCAGTCAAAGGCCTGGGTTCAACTCCTCAGGACTGCCCAAAAATCTTAAGAGTAGAGGCCAGCTGGAACCCAAGTTGGCCCTGATGACCCAGGTGTGGTGTGCTGCCTCGCAACCAGATCATCTTTCGGGTGTCAGCGCCTGCAGGCGTGGGCATGGCCTTACCTAGCTCTGCCATGGACACGGTCGGGGAGGTCTCTCCGTTGGTGAAGGAACAGTAGGGAAAGAAGCCGGATGCTGGTGTGTAGTCACAGATGGGCTCGGGTTTGATCCCGTTGATGTCCAGCCCCGACTGGTCAGGCGAGGGCTGGATGTCCAGGTAGAAGCTGCTGACGGCCGAGTCGGCCTTGCTGCCCTCGGGGGTGTGCCCGTCCATGTAGCCGCTGAGGTCCTCGTGCAGCTCCGTCAGCCCATTGGCCGAGATGCTGTAGGTGGGCGTGAGGGGCTCAGCCTCCCCGGGCTGCTGCTGGTGGTCACGCTGCTGCTGCTGCAGCCGGTGCTTCTGCACCTCGGCGTACAGGCTGTCCCTCTGCTTCTTGGACATCCGCCCGAACTTCACGGCTGCAAGAGAGACGCCCAGGCGCTCACCCCACTGTCCTCTCCCACCTTCAGGAGGCCTGGGGCTCAGGCGACCCCGGTCGGTCCTGAGCGCCCTCCTGGTCACAAAGTCAGGACATCGCCCCACATCCTGGAGGAGCTGCGTCTCGGACAGAGCCACAACCCGCTGCTTTCGTGCCGTCACCTGTCCTGGGCGCACAGGAAGGGCACCCTGAGCTCCCAGTGAAGGGGATTGTCCACCCTGCACCCTGCAGCTGGGCTGGGCCTCCTCCTGTCCCCGCTGGGCATCGCCTTGGAGCACAGACGCCCTGGAGACCCTGGAAGTGGCCCAGCCTATACTTCCATTCCAGTGTCTGCTCTGCATGCGCAAAGGGGTCCTTTCTGGTCAGACCGCAGCATCTGGGGCTTCCTGCAGGGGCCTGACAGACTTGGGGAGGCTTTGTAATCACCTGAACCACATCTCTGACCAACCCTGCCCTGGGAAGTCTCCTCCTCTACTTGGGGTCCCTGGGAGACCCATCCCAAAGGGGCAGTTTCTGCCGTTCCCATTTATCTTCAAGGGGAGCGCTGGACACAAACCCCACGGGGTGGCTCCCCAAATTTAAAGCAGAGCAATGGCCACAGCAACTCTCCAGATCCTTCAGAACCACAAATGGCTTCTCCTGCAAGGCTGTGGGGCGAGGCCCTCTGATTTTCTGCTCTGAACTCCTCCACTAATTACACCACCGCGGCACTCTCATCTGCAAATAAAGCCTCTGCTAGAGGCCCCCTTCTCCCAACTGGCTCAAGTTAGTCCTGAGGTCCAGGATGAACTCGCACTTCTGCCTGGCACCCTAGCTTCCCGAGTCTGGGCAGGAGAGAGGGAAGTGGAGGAGGTGACCGAGGCCGCTGCTGGCCGGGTGGGCATCCTCCTCCTCCTGCTCCGCAGAAAGTGGGGACCTTCCACACAGGGAAAACGAAGGAATGGGAAGGCCAGGCAGTTGGCACTTGCTGATGTGGGCTCTGAATTTCAGGACTATGCTCTGTGAGCCTCCAAATTCTTTCCATAGCCACAAGCTGTTTGTTCTTTCTGTCTCTGTCTGTCTGCTCCGCCCTCCTTTGTTTCTCTGTCTGTCTGTCTGTCTCTCTCTCTTTCTTTCTTTCCTGTGTAGTAGTAGGGATTGAACCCAAGACATGGAAATCTCTTTATTGTCCAGAAACGGAAGTCAAAGCAGTCCTAGCTAGCGCTGAAGTCACTCTGTCCAGGACCACCTAGCGCGAGTCCTCCGGGCAGCTTCCTTGCTCAGCGGCTTTTCCTGCTGCTGCATCACGGTTTCCGGAGCTCTCTGAGCATGCGGACTCCATCGTCAAAATCAGCCTTTTGCTTTAAGAAATATCATGCCCGCATCTTGCACGGCAATTAACCACTAGGAAGAATGTATGCAATGTGTGAATTATTGAAACTGTCCTACCAGTTTGATTTGAAACTGTCTCGTTGCTGTTTATCAATAAAATTATGGGAAAAAAAAAAAAAAGAAACGCAAGCAACCAAATTGAACAGGAAGAGAATTAGAGCTCGTTTCTACACACCTGGATTAAGAAAAAGAAATGTAATCTTTCGTGAAGCCTCAAAAAAGAGTGCTAGATAAAGTAATGTGGGCCA